TTTTCCTCTTTTTGAGGCAATTCATCAAACACATTTATGATGCAATTCATCAAACACATTTTTGGCATATAATTCAACAATTCTACCCAAAGATTTTTGGAAACAAGTAAATACATACTACATTCTCATTCCTTAGAAGACCAATAAAATCGAAATAGATATTGAAATTTAATATTACCTTCTCTTCTTTTCCAAATGTTCAACAAGAATATTGTAAGAATTGGTTTCCCACTTCAACCAAATTAGTGTTCAAGAGAATGACAATAGATTTTAGAGTTTTAAAATGAGAGAAGTTGATGATAAGAAAAGGAGAAGAATAATTGCAGGGAGGTCAAATCTCGAATGTGGAAGAAATGATTTGAATTAGGGCTAAATGGAAATTGAATGGGGAAATAGGGTTTTATGTCTTTTTACATACAAGGATATTTTAGTAATTTGAAAATTGTTTTTTATTTTCTTTGTAACTTTGGGCTATCTAACTAAAAAAGATAGATGATAGTGTATATAAATAAATGTTTCCTTTGACTAGGGCATTTAAATGAACTCCCCTTCTCTTTTTCTGAGCTAATGGTGATTTGTTGATGTAGCAGAAGGCATAGTTTATACTGCCTCACATTTCCTTTTTTGCCCATCTTCGTTGTTTATTGCTGGTCTATGTTACAGGGGTATTATAGCTAATGGGCAGGCTTTGTCTTTATAAAATTTAACTCATGTTTAATACGTCTTAAAATCTACCCCCGTTTGTCTATTGTTTTGTGCACATTTTTTGGAAAAAAATATATTTTTACTGTTGATGTGATGAGCAATATGTGATTGAAAAAAAATTGATAACAGACGTGGATCCCACTACACAAATTTAACAAAATACATCAAAAGATAAAAAGAATAGACCGAAATATTAGATGAAATGATATGTCTGCCGTACCAATATTTAAAATTCATTTTCTTTTATTTAGCCCTTATTTGATTATCATTATTTTTGAAATATATTTTTCTATCTTTTTTTTAATCACACATTTTTGAATAAAATAATGTGATGTGACATACGCAAACTCAAATTATTTCCTCATTTTTTAAGTATATATTTTTCATCAATCTACTTTGTTGGAATACATTCTTAGTAAAAATAGAGCTCAAACATACACTTAGTTACGAATCCATTAAAAATTTAAAATGAGGGTTTTAAGAAAATATATTTTAAAATAGTGATTTTTTGAATAATGTATTTTAAATAGTGATATGTGTGAAATATGTGGTTAAAAAATATATAAAAATAAATAATGTAATAAAAAATATTATTTTATTAAAAAATACGTGGTTAAAAATGAATTTTGAAAGAACGGGCTAAGCTCAGAGACTTTGAATTTTACACAACGCACTACGCTTCCACTTCAAAATTTCGAAATGGTCAGTTTCACCGTTAGGCCCCCATTTGTTTTTCACTTTTCTTTCATAAAAATGAAAAATATGACCGTTATCCATCACATTAAGCCATCACTTTTGAATTTCCATCTCTTGTGTGCTGTTCAATAACGACTATATTTTTCATTCTCATTCTACAATAATGAGAATCAAACGACCATTGAATGCAGAAAACAAACCCTTCTCTGTAGCAAAAAGGAGCAAAACCTCAAGGCTTCAACCCGAGTATTTTAGGCCGCAAAAATCTGTAGAACAACCAGTAAGTTTTGTTATTTGGATAAATTTGTGTAATTTACATTTAACTCTCAAAATAAATAAGTCCCTAAATATCTGAAGTTGAATGCAAGGGTTTCAACGGCTGAGATTGGTTGATATGCTTGTATTTGCGATTCTACTGATTTTCAGGACTTCACTGTTAAGCTATGGCTTATTGCTCATTCGGTTCGTACGATATTTTGAATGTTAAAATCGAGAACATAGAGGTGGTCATATTTATTGGAAAATATTTCCTTAGATTCGTTGCTCTGCTTGTATTTTTTGATTCTACTAATGTTTAGGGCTTCACTGTACTGCTCTGGCTTGATGCTTATTCGCTTCTGTTGGGAATCAATAGCATAATATAAACTCCAATATCCCAGTGCTATGGCTTGATGCTTATTCGATTCTGTTGGGAATCAATAGCATAATATAAACTCCAATATCCAAGTTACAGAGTTCAGACGGGCTCAAACATGCAATGACAATGTTTTTGTAGCTCCAAAAATCAGAATACAATTTGGTAATCAACATATATCAATTGCATTTACAGATATAAATAAATCATCATCCTCAGTACCTCAACATATAATGTAATCCAACATTTAAATATGCATATAAATCGAAAATGGAAACTTAACAGGAACTGAAAACATAAAACATAAAGAACTGGGAAAAAATCGAAAGCATAAACTGGCAGAACTTTACTTCCCTATTTCACGTCGTTATTCCCTTCTTTTGGTCGAACCGGTTAGGCTTAGAAACAGCCCCTTCCACGCTTGCAAATCGCCGTCCATAGTGAGCGCAAGAACCAGTCAACACTTGACTTGGATCATCGACCAAACGGTCTACCAAAAACAGTCAAGAACTCGCCCCTAACACACTGACCTAAGCCTCACACGAGACCTCCACAACCCAGCACTATTTCACGCCAAGGTAATACACCGGCGTCACTCTACAATGGCTTACAATGAGTATCAAGGGGTGGGCTAGAGAGTAGAAGCATAACCGAGAAGAATCTAACGCACTGACCTAAGCCTCACACGAGACCTCCACAACCCAGCTCTATTTCACGCCTAGGTAAAACACAGGAGTCACTCAACAATGGGCTTACAGTGAGTATCAAGGGGTGGGAAGAAGAAGAAACGTTTCAACCGAGAAGAAGAGGGCTTTTATCGAAGAAGTCGAGAGGAAGAGTATTGAGGAAGCCAAACCCACGTGAGAATGTATCAAAAGTCAAGCCAAGGAAAAATATCTAGCCAAGATTTAATCCCAACCAACCAATTTATCCAAAGGCTAAAATTAAAAGTAGCACAAATCGGGTCAACCCAATGGGTTAGGAGAACCACAAAAGCCAACGGATTCCTTAAGTTATTGGAGGTTATGCAGTTGATTTAAATGCGTGGCTTTGAGAATTGAAAGATTGCTGTTACTTCAGAAGCATTTGAGTTTTGGGCACCCGATTTCTTTAAAGCAAACTATCAAGAACCTTCTTCGAAGAAATCAAAGAAACAGACCATGGATCGACTAAGTGAGTTACCGGACTGGGTAATTCACCTCATTTTCTCATTCATGTCCATGGAATATGTTGTTAGGACAACCATTTTTTCCAAACGCTGGAAAGACTCTGGACCTCAGTTCCTTGCCTTAATTTTAAATCTGAAGCATTACGTGAGTTAGAATTGGATGAGTTTAGAAACTTTGTTAACAAGACTTTGATACTTTGGAGAGGTACAAAGATTCAGAAACTCACATTGTATATGTTCGATTTTTGTGAATCTTTATCTTGTGATCTCAATTTGTGGGTCCGTTTCGCACTGCAACATAAGGTTGAAGAGTTATACCTGGATATATGCACCGATTTGGAAATTCTGATGCATCAACTCTTGTACTCTAGTTCATCGATCAGAAAATTACACCTTCTAGACTGTGTTCTAGAAGTTCATGGGAAGATACACTGGGATCAACTCAAGAGTTTAACCACTGACGGCGTGAGCTTGGATCAATCTGTGATTGAAAGAGTGTTATCAGGTAGCCCTAAGTTGGAAATCTTGACAATAAGCCGTGGCGATCGAGTATTCATTCCGCTAGTTTGAAGGAGCTATATCTTCTTTACTATTTTGCCCGTTATTATGTTGATGTAAATACATTGATGGAAATTTGGACTCCAAATCTTGCAGTATTAGAAATTTCAGGATTTTTGCCCTGTAGGCGCTTGCTAATGAGCGTTCCATCATTGGTTGAGGCAACCCTTGATTTTCATACGTATCTCGAGCATACATCAGACAGAAAAAATGAAATGTTGAGGGAAAATTTCCAGAGCATTCATCATGTTGAGAAGTTATTGGTAGGAGATTGGTGCATTGAGGTTTGGTTTCTCTTCACATTTTTTTATAAATTTATTTACATCATTTGCATGTGCTTAATTTATTTGATTCATGGCTCTTCTTAATTTTTATAACAGGTGCTGGCATCGATGAAGAAGACAGATTTGCCTTCTCCTCTGTTAAATTTGAAAAGTTCGACGCTAGATACTTAACTCAAGAAAGGTGGACTTGCTGGATTTCTGAACCTTCTTAAAATCTCGCCAAATATGGGCAAGTTAGCCATACATAATAGTGCTGGTACCTCACCTCAGGTAACAAATGATAAAGTTAACTTTCTGGTTTATGTTGTAGTCAGAATTCTGAAATCTGGGCAGAACAATCTTCTCTACAGGAGCGACTTATTGAATGGAATTGGCTTGGAGAATCTCTTATCCCTGAAATTGAGGAAATAGAGCTCTCAGATTCCTTTCTAATGCATCTGAGGATAGTTAGAATCAAATGGTTTTGTTACGAGACCTCAATACTTCCATCGATAGAGTTTGTGTTGAAACATGCTAGCCTGCTCGAAAAGATGGCGATCGAGGTTAGAATGCCTAAATCAGTTGGATCAGAGTGTTCAGTTCCAGCAGCACAAAAACTGTTTGAGAATGTCAAGATCTTCTCCCGTTGCTGAGGTCGTGTTTCACTGGGGCACTTATTGTTTGTGACTTCGTATGTAAATTAAACCGTCAAGTGCCAGTGTACTATTGTATACCAAATGTGTCCCCAAAGTGTGCAATGTTTAAATTATCTTAACAACATCGTATGTTCTTGATGGAGCGACCATCTATTGACTTCAAAATACAATAAAATGGCTATATGTTATGACTTCAAAATACAATAACGCTCTTATTAAGCCCCTGTTTGATAGGCATTGTTTGATAAAAAAATGGTTTTGAATAGTAAATTTTCGGACGAATGTATGGTTAAGAAGTAAAGAAAAATTGTGGGTTTACATGAGTGTGAATGTGTGGTTAAAAATGAGTATATAAAAAATGTTTTGAAATAATAATTGTCAAATAGAGTTAACTTTTGCCCCTGTTTGAGTCCACATTATAATTTTCATTCTTATTTTTCTATTCATTTTCAATCACGTATTTTTCAATAAAATAATATTTTCTATCACATCAATAACTTTTCATTCTTTTTCAAATACATATTCACCATCATATAACCAAAAAAAATATATTCTTTCTATTTTAATGTGCATCAACCATGGACATAAAATATCTTTTAACATGTCATTTCTATTTCAAAAAAATTTGAAGGTGGGTGTGTGAATTAGACATATTATCATTGTGCTCCTTAAATTACCAGAGTACCCTTGTAATCCCATCCCAAAGGGGCAAGGTTGGTAATTTAGAGTGGTATAAACTGGGGCTTCTGACTCAACGGCAAACCACCATCAGCCCAGAAACAAAGAATTAGGGTTGATAGAGAATGGGGATTTCTTCAAGGGTGGTTACCCCTCTCTATTTTACCCAATGATTTCTTCGTTTTCAAAAACTAACAGCCCTTAAAGAGAAATCGAAACCAAGTAAATAATAATAATAAAATTCCCTGTTTGAGCTCCATTATTCTCGTACGTTTGGCTAAGCTAAGCCTCCGTTTGGCGAAAGTTATAAATTGTTTCGGAGTTTCTGCAAATTTCCCTTGGAGGGAGTTGACCTGTTGAGTAGAAAGGGGCTGTGATGATTTTTCTCTTTTTGTTTCTGAGCTAATGGATCGGGTATTGAGATATTCTGACCCGTATCTTGGCATGGCATCCCTGGATGGCTCTGTGATTAGGATTTCTTTAACAGATGCAACCAGTGATTTGCAGCCATGGCGAGGTCAATTTCTCTTTGCCTGCTTATTTTTCACAGATCTGAGCCTCGATTTAGGTCTTCTTTCAATTCTTTTTCGATTTTCCGAAGCCTGTTTTGTTTTTAATTATGGTGATCTTTTGCATATTTTTTTGTGAGAAAAGGGAAGACTTCTGGGAAGAAATATCTTTTATCCGAGTCTTTATTACTTTTTTATTTTCCAAAAATATCTTTAAAACATCATACAATTGGCTTTTCTCTTCCATGCAATGGTATTTCAGCTTGACGCCGTCGTGCTACTTTGAATGTCGGGTGGGTTTGTCCAACCTATTATGGTTCGAGTGTCGTGAATTAAGAAAAATTTTCATTTGGAATGTCGTGACTAGTTCCCATTTATCTTTGCTAGTAAAACTAACGAACACAACTTCAGATATGATGATTTGATTAAGAATAGACAATTTGAAATATGTGGTCGTTTGGCCCCCAACCACGAACTTAACTTGAGGACTGACTTCCATGTCAAAGTTTTAGATAGTTCCAAAAGTACATTTGAATTTGAATGTGATCCTCGCTTATGGCATGTTTGATAGAAATTAAAATCAGATTAAAATTGAAAAAGTAGCTATCATCGTTGACTTTTATTAGACGAGTGTCATTCAATAAATGTTATATTTTCAATTTTAATTTGATTTTAATATTTACCAAACGAGCACTTAGTATCTACATTTTGGATTGTTTGTTCACTCCCAACAAAAATAACAGGCTCGAAGAAGGAACAATTTTTTTCTAATATGACTTGAGTAAAAGAGTAATGTTATTCATTAGGATTACATGGCATATGATTAATGGATAAGAGGTAGGTTTGTAACTTGTCTCGACAATTCCAGTTCCACCTTATCGAATATCAAACTCTAAATCCTCTTCTCTTCCTTTTCCCTCTCATAATCCCAAAACCACCAGCAAAACCGCCGCCATGAACTCCGCCACTCTTCTCCTCTTCCCACCACCTCCAACAAAATTCCCCATCTCGATATCCACACCCTCTCCACGCCTAATCTATTTCCCCAACCCAAAATTCAATATTTCGGTGTCCATTAACCTCACCCGACACGGTAACCCACGACCCGACTTCAGGGTCTGGGCTGACGACGGAGACGCAGACGGAGGAGACCCGGATGACTATGACATGGATGAGGATGAGGTAGAAGAAGTAGATAATAAAAAAGACTTCGATGTTGATTACGGTACTGCAACCGCTCTGGCCGCCATTTCCGCCACCGCAGGCGATGGCGGAGATGATGATATTGAGATGGTGCATAGTAAGAGCTTCGTTTCCACTCAGGGATGGGACTCCGAGAAAATCGTGGATTATCGGATTAATGAGGATGAATTTCACAAAATTTGTCTTCTTGATTGCGATTTTTTCATAAGGAAACCGCCTGACCCAGATAATGATGTCTATGATTTCCGCGAGGTGACCCTTTTTTCACGCTTTTATGTTAAAATTTGTTACTTACTGTAATTGTTTCTAGTTTTTATTCTAAAACTTACTTGTGTGCACTTCCAAGTAGGGGTGGACAAAAAGTCTAATCCAGACCAGAACCGAACCAAACCAAATCAAGCGGTTCGATTCGATTCTACAAAAAAAATTAATAGTTTTGGTTCTTCGAACAAAAAATCATTTGATTATAATTTTTGTTCGGTTCCGATTCTAGAACTAAGAACCAAACTTAATTTATAATTTTATTTTTTTGTATGAATTTGATTTTATTTTAATTGAAGCCGCCCAATAGCCATTATTTTGGTACAATCCATAAAATGTGTTTAGTTATTAATTTTAATTGTATTCAATATTCGAGTTTAAACATCACTTCAATGCATTATTTCAAATTCAAACCCTCAAAGTCCCAAACACCTCTAGACGCATTCCTAAATTTCTAATCCCTCAAACCTCAAACAACGCAGCTTTTTTGGATGAAAACTCCAACTTTCTTGCTGTTCCTCTAAGCCATCGAGGGTATAGTAAAAAAATATCATAATTTACCGGACATCTTTCTTTTCTTTCATAATTTTTTGTGCAACTTTATACATATTAGTTAAAGATTCTAGCCAGACAATATTTTTATTGAATTGTGATATAAGTCAATTTGAAAAAAAAAAAAAAAAAGTTAGAGTAGACTACAAATATTGCCCATGTTTGGCACCCATTCTGTATCTCATTCTCATTTTTTTCTCTTACTTCATTTTAACCACACATTTTTCAATAAAATAATATTACACACAAATCTAAAACTTTTCATAACTTTTCCACCACACATTCCCATGAATCACTATTCTAAAAATTTTTATTTTCAAAAAATAAGTGTCAAACACACCCATTATTTTCTTATGCAAGTTTGAAAATTTAAGTAATAGTACTAGAACCAGACCAAACCAGACCAAACCAGAATCAAATGGGTCAGTTCGGTTTGGTTCCGCATCTTAAAAAAAACTATTCGGTTCCATTATATAAAAAAACCATTGGTTCATGGTTCAGTTCAGTTCTCTTGGAGCCAGAACCAAATGGAACCACGTCCACCCCTACTTCCAAGTAAACTTTTTAAGCTTAACGAAACATGACTTTAACCTTTATTATATTGTGTATGTGCGGCGTTGTGTTGTATCTTCTGCTTTCTAGGTTACACCTATGTTTATCTGTTGAGTTGCTAAGTAGTTGCTCAGTGTGGCAATGTAGAAATTTAAGCATTTTTCATCTTTAGGTTGGAAGTTGATTGATTTCTTGAATTTATTTAGAAGGTGCAGGAAAAAATTGAAACTAAAGGCATCAATGGTTTCATGCTAATAATTAATTAAGGATGTAAGAGAAATTTTCATTTGAAATTAGAAAATTCGTTTATATCTTCGGAGTAACCATATGGTTGAATTGTTCCCTTCGCATTTTTTAACTTTTTTAATTTTTTTTTTCTGTATATTCAACCTGGAGTTATACATGTTGATGTAACAGTGTTTTCGTTGTTTGTAGATGTATGTTACACCCCCAGATACTGATATATATGCTGTTCCGAAGGTTCTCGCACCAATGCCTCAAAAGGTATGCCCCCAAACATAATCTATGAAATAAACATGGACTATTTGAATCAATTTATAAAAGTTTTGTTCTCTTGTATTTAATATTCTAAGATAGTTGTGTTTATTTGAGTTTTGTGTTTGTATATTTTGATAATTTTAATGTCTCTACTGGTATTGCAGTACATTCGATGTGCACAAAGCGATTTTGGATGCTACAATGTGACAGAGCCACCCATTGATGCCCCTAGAGATCCGATGTACAAATCTGAGAAAGAAGTCTTAAAGGTCTTATAACATTCTGTAGTTTCTTTTTGTGAAAAATCATTTCAAGAATTTATTAAGTTTTCAATCTCGTTACTTGGCACGTGCTAATTTTAACCACACATTTCATGTACCACAACTTTTCAACCACACATTTCATCAACTTTTATCAAAATTTACTAAAATGATTTGAATCCTCACCAAACAGGGGCTTAATTTAAAAGCTGGGTTCGAGAAAGATTAGTTATATATTTTAAAGATGGGATGGTTTGCAAGAGGGCTCTTAAACATATGTTCAACATGACTTTTTGGTTGGCTCGCAGTGATTTATAGAGGTGGATAACTTTGGTGCTTCTTTTTATTCGAAATGAATATTTCTTCTCAATTTGTTGTTGCAGGTTTTCCTGACAAAGCATTACAGGAATCGCCGGCTGGGTGACCCAGAATTTACTCTTGATTTTGAGGAGATCTATGTAATTGATTCAAAAACAAAATCAATCTCCAGAGCAAAAGTCTTGGTGAGCAAATTTCATGTGAACTAACTGTACATCTCTTCACTTCTGAGAACTTGAAATCATCAAATACGTGTATTTTTCCCCTGGCAATTTATTCAGTAATCTTCTAGTGATCAAATATTCACGATAAGTATAAATCATCACTATCTTCTCTGGTAAATTGAGTATCTGCTTTTCTTTCCGTTTGTGCTTTAATATGCTTTGTTGTATTAGTAGTGTACAATGAGTTCTCAAATCAATTGTTACATTAGAGTTATCCATTATTTTTTGTCTGCCAAGTGGGCTGGGGGTGGTTGTTCGATAAGTAAGCAAGGAATGCTTAGCTTGCTCATATTAATTTCAGCTGCATGTTGCTAAAGTCTGGGACGAGAAAGTGTATAATAGGACAGAAGATCTTTAGGATAGGCACCATGCATTCCTTTGTCCTGTGAGAGACCAAATGTTCAGTTAAATGATGAAAGATGCTTCTCTCCAAACTCTTGGTTACAGCCATTCATTTATCTACAACAATGCTTCTTATATGCTACTAAGCTGGCCCATTTCTTTTGCAGTTTATTTACTTGTACTGTGTTGTGATTTTCTTCAATAGGTGACAGTTCCAGGTGGAAGGAATAGGGACAGGAAGAACGATTTGCTGGTCATTCGAGATAATGGAAACTCCTTCAAGATAATTCCCCCGGTGATTACTCAAAATACTACTCTTTTCTTTCATTATTTTTATTTTGACTTTTCAGCGTATTAGCAGATTCATTTCTGTTACTATTTCTCTAGGGTGAAAGAGACGACCCTACCACTGTGATAGAGAAGGAGGAGTGGAACAAAACAAGACAAGATATGGAGAAGCATCTTAGGAAATTAAGAGATTTTAGTGTTTCAAATTGGTTCTAATTGGATTATGCTATGGGTTAGAATCTCATAGGGTCGGTTTACTAAGAGATGCTGATCAATGAAGACTTCAGATACATGTGTCTGTTTCCTGGATCTCAGCATTTTTTGACGACCATGTTGAAGCTACGTTGATGGCTTTGTCATGTCAAACACGAAGAAATATTTCGAATGACAGAGTAGGTCGGTGATATATATATGCGACGAGCAATTGTATTGCTGAGGCATTGATCGTTATTTGTGTAAGCATTTCTTATGAAATGAGTTCGACGGAGAATCATCACCGTAGTTGATATATTTTTGTCCATTCACTTGTTGTAAGAACATGTTTTGTAATTTATACCAACAATTTGTCATTTGTAAGATGTAACTTTTGGTAAAGTGTGAATTCTTGGTATGGAAATTTCTATGTAAAACCTGTCATGATTTTAAAGCAGGTATCCACAACTTAATGAATTTTAAAAATTCTTTTAAATACCTCCAATTGAGATTTTAATGAATTTAAATAAAACTGTTTAAAATTTAGGTATCTTTAATAATTAGTGGATTTATAAGGATTTCATTAATAAAGATATATAACAATTTTATTTTTTCTGAAATTTAACAATTTTTAATGAGATTTTTACGAAATTTGTGAAAATCTATTCAAATTCACGAAATTCATTAAAATTTATCAAAATTTTAGTTAAGGAGACTCCCGTAAATTTCTCTTGTATCTCTGCAGGCATTTGCATTTATCATTGGTATAATATACTCGTTCAAAATCTTACTCTACATGTGTGTGTTCGTGTGTCGATGACGAAATCATGGACCTTATGAATATGGGTTATAGTTATAAATTTATACAATCTCCTACAAATAGGGAGTTTGAAAATGACACATAATTCCATGAAAGCAGCTTGTTTGAGAGCTTTTTCCTTGGAAGGAGAGCTGTGTTTTTTTATAAAAATTCAAAATCAACTAATATTGTTCATTTAAAGAGGTTATGTTAATGAAAAAGAGCAATTAAATACTAATAAAAAGTAAAAACAGTAAAAATCTCTTTAATTCTTAAAAAATCCCAAATACAGGTGGAGGTGGGTGTGGAGTAGAGATTCACCTCCCTTTTATATTCAACAATAAATTGTGATGGTCATCGGGTCACGTGACCAAGAACCAATTAATGACAATGTCACAGCAACCATGATCAAAACTAACGTGACAACATTTTTTTCTAGTAAATAATCCAACCACGTATTATTATTTTGTTGTAAATTAGGTAGTGTTGTATGTCACTTGACAATGCTTTTTGTATGTTAAAAAGAAGGAAAATTTTTGGGTTTACGTATAAAATATTTTATTGTGTGAATGTATGATTGAAAATGAGTATACAGAAAAAAAATGTTAAAAGAATGAGAGACAAACGAGACTTATTACACCATCTTCTATATTATTTAAAAATTGTCTAATCTTGCCCCTCCAGGACATAGCTCAGTGGTGCAAAGGACAAGAGTGAGGTAGTTTTAATTGTGTAAAGATTCGATTCCTACCTCTTACAAAGTATGAAATTGAACTCTTTGTGGGCACCAGTATGACAGCTTTTGTACCTTGGTCTATTGAGGTACATCCCGCGATTTTCCTCATCTACAATGCTCTAGGGGCGAAGCAGTGGAGGACCCTCAAGGTTGGAGTTCAACTTTTTTTTTTAAAAAAAATTGTCTAATCTTATATATTTTTTACAAAATAACTAATGAGTCCCCCACAAAAGGACTCTTTCAAAGTTGTTATCAACACTTCACCTGACTCGTACTCACACAAAAGGACGATTATACTAATTTTAAAATAAAATATGTACAAGAATGTTATCTTCGAAAGCACTAGCGTAAATATGACATAGAGCTTGTTTGGTAACACTAAAAATTAAATTAAAATTGAAAATATAATCGTTATTGGGTCCCACCCGTCAAATAAAAATCAACAATTACGGCTAGTTTTTCAATTTTAATCTCTACCAAACACATTTATAATTGAATAGAATTGAAAAAAAAAAAAGTATGTGACGGTTTTTCAAGACATCCGACATTCTCCTACGAAATCCAACACACCACAAAAGAACGCAACAACGTAGAATTATTTCGAAGAATGCAACAAACATTATGAGTTGAGTTCTCCTTATCAGTCAGTTAAAGCTTCAAATTAATGTTAGTTATATATAATATTACAATAATTATTTGGTGTTGATGAATCATTTGTCAGCTAATATGTCATTTTTTGTTATTGACTTAAGACCTTAAAATGAATTATTTTGTAACAGCAGAAATCAACTTGTTAACAAACCTGGGCATGGTTAGTAAGTACCAAATTGCATAACTGCTCTACTTATTTTTGGTGAATATACCGACTTTTGATATAAAAATAAGTTAACTTATATATAAGATTTTTTTTTATTAGGAATTGATATTATTTAATCCTTGTTCTTTTCTAGGAACATTGCGGCGGAGGTCCAAAACCTTTCAATTTACTGCATCTTACACCTTAACCTTTTATTTTTGTAGTCGCAATCCCAGACCTTTTGCTTTAATTGCAATTGAAGTCCATTGAACAAATTTCATCCACTATTCTTTGGAGAAGATGAAATTCTTTTCCTTTCCTTTTTTTTATTTAATTAATTTAATTGGTTTATTATAGAAATCGCAAATATTCCATTTTATCCCTCAATTAATTTGTCAATTTGAGTCAAACATCCAAAAGGTTGACCAATGGAATAGTTGATGGAGTTTGTCCTTCAGGTGCAATTAAAGTGAGAGGTTTGAGACAGTGGTCACAAAAATAAAAGGTTGAGATTTAATCTGTAGTAAATTGAAATGTTTGGGACCTCCGTTGCAATTTTACCTTCCTTTCTTGCTAACTATATTAAGGAAAGGACAATGTTTTGAATAGTGATTTTTAGGAGAACGTACGGTTAAAAAGTGGGAAAATATTTTGGATTTACGTACAAAATATTTTATTGTATAAATGTAATTGACAATGAGTATATATAAAAAAAAAGTCTAAAAATAATAATCGTCAAACATCGGCTAAGAAAGTGAAAGATGCTTCATTAATAAAATTTCATATTAAAATACTTATTTTGGAAAATGTGAATCCTAAAAGTGAACTGAAAATGATGAATTTTCATTATTTCCAAAGTTTGCGGCTGTCCCCCCTCAGGTTATTTTATAATTAACCACTTAAAAGAGAAAAACAAAAGGAATATACTCATGATGCAACAGCAAAATAATTAATTTCGGGATCATGCTACAAGTATATAATCATTTACATAATACATTACATAATTGATATGTGGCGTGCATCCATCGATAGTCTACAATTTTTGAATTTTCCACATTTCACATCCACGACCGGATTTCTTCTACATGGGTCTATGCAATCCATTATATACAATAATTATGTACATATAGATTTATCCTTAATTTCGAGCTAAGACAGTCTTCCGTAGAACGAAGATTCACTACTTTATAATGAAAATATATTTCACAATATATGATTAAAAGAATTGCCGAACAATTTACAATCCGCGAAGTTAATAATATTCAATAACGAAAAGCATCGTTGGGTTGAAAGATAAAGGTCATTCGAATAGTTTAAACGATGACATGTTTTGCATGTAATTAAATTCCTGCGCATTCAATGAGTTCTCTATCGACGTTAATCTTGTTAGCATACTTTTTATTTAATCATTTTTTCTAGAAAATAATTAGCCAAACGCGATCCCGTATAGAAAATGAGTAATGTTATTCATCCCCATTAAAGATGAAAACACAATCTGAAGAGGGCAATTAAATGTTGGAACTATGACAATACTATGAATATACCTAACAACACGTGAAAAGGGCAATTAAATGTTGGACCTACACACGAGACATGAAGGTATAATATGCCGCGAAATAAAAATCCAAGTGTGGACCGCCGTTGAATGATAACTTTCACATGCATGCACTAATAATTTAGGTAAGGTCCTACAATTTGGAGTACATCGTACATTCAATTTGGACACTAATGAATTAACGTACGTATAGAGACAAGAACTAATACTCGTCGCTCAATAAGGAGCTTTAATTGACTCGACTTCGGTGCATTTTTGAACTCATCTTGCCTTTCCTTTCTTATCGACTCCCGAATTGCTTTCTTACAATTTTCTTCGACTTAGATCATGGCTAGCCGATAAAAATTCATTATACTTTATGTAATCTACAAAAGCAAGAGGGAAAAAAAAGCTTTTAAATAAATAAATATATATTAAATAGATATATTTGTGGCGTACGGCCTTCACTTGGACCACACGTGTTAGGCAGCCGTTGTTGTGTCCAATCTGCCACGTGTCTAGCACTTCTTTCTGAATTCACGTGAATAACATGTTAATGCCACCGCCCCTAAAGGCGAGTAGAGTATTGAATCACACTGTCGGTTAGTGGCCCACCTTATAAATGAGGCATTCATTTTATTTTATATTTTATAAATGAAGCATTTATCATGTACTACTCTCTTTATATATTTTTTCAATTTATTAAGGAGATTTAAATCTTTAATCCAATCCACAAGTAGGTTGGTCCTATGAGAGAATTGAATTCTAATTCTCTACTATTACAATTTGTCAACGCTACATTCACTCTAATTAAGGGAGGAGAAAAAAAAGTTTAGAGGGTCGATTTTTGAGTCGAGAGTTTGAAGTAGTGGTAATAAAAATTAATTTCTGTAAAAAAGAAGCGGTAAGAGTCTGTTCTCTTTATCATTTTCAAACCGTTTTCTGTTTTTTATTTTTCAAAACAGTGAAAACGCGTTTTTGAAAACAAATTAAAAATTTACAAAGAAAACCTAAAAAACGACTGTTTTCAGTTATAATCAATCAAAATGCCAAAAAAAACATATTTTCAACAATCTCAAAATGAACACTCAAAACACAAAATTGAAATACAAAGAGAACAGCTCCTAAAATTCGTAAAAGCTAATTCTCAACTCTTATA